TACAGATGAATAGATGTTTTTCTTCCAGCATATTCCCATCCACTGTATTCTGCTTTACCATTGCTTTTAGCTCCCCAATCTTAGGAATTGAATTTGAGTTTATAATAGGTCTTTAAACAAAAAAAACTAATTATATAATGAATATATTATCATTATAAATTTATAATAATATATGATATTATAATTATATCATTTTTGTTTTTTAATATCCATTGAATAACGTTATTTGTAGGGATAGAGTAGTTTAAAGGTTAAATATCTTTTTTGGTCCCTCTACTATAACAAAAAGTCCCTTTTGGTTCTTGTACCGAAAAAATCTCTTTTTTGATCTCTAAATTTTAAAATCCGGCCCTTTTTTAGTCCCTCCGTCAAATTTTGCTCGCGTGACATGTTAACTTAACTGGAACAGCTGACGTGGGTATACCAACATGTAAAAAATGCTTACGTGGACTTCTGACACCTGCCACGTCACTCGCCACGTCACTCTCCCACACACAAAAATGAAAAAAAATTGGAGGGGAAAGTGACGTTGCGAGTGACGTGGCAGGTGTTAGAAGTCCACATAAGCATTTTTTACATGTTGGCATACCCACGTCGGCTGTTCCAGTTAAGTTAACATGTCACGCGAGCAAAATTTGACAAAAAGACTAAAAATGGGTCGAATTTTAAAATTTAAAGATCCAAAAAAGAATTTTTTCGATACAAAAACCAAAAAAAAAAGCTTTTTCTTATGGTAAAAGGACCAAAAAAAAGTATTTAACCTAGTTTAAACACTTGCTCTCTTTATATATTATTCTTCTGTTATTTTTGTTCAAACAAATAATCAATTATATTTAAGCAACAATCTACTATTGTGAACAAATATTGCCTCTTTTAGGTTTGAAATTTGTCGTATACCAACACAACCAACTTAAATTCGTCATAACTAATTTTCCCAGTTCTCAAGTAGCCATTTCAGTCCAAAACTATTTGCCTAGCAACCATTCTTTAAATCTCGACTCTAAATAAGATGGCCACATACACAACTTACCCTTTTGTCTGATAATATTTTGTACAGATATTTTTTACACAATAATTTATTTTAAAATATAATTTTTAATTAACTTTTTATATTTTTTATTAATTTTAATTAATATTTTATATATTTTTGAATAATATAAGGCAAAAAAAATCTACAGTGATACAACAATTAAAACTTACATATTAAATCCCAAATGCACCAGCAGGTTTAGATAATTTTTTAAATTTTTTGTGCACAAGAGAAAGAGAAATAGAGAAAGACTCTAATATCAGTTACCTAGATTAACATTAATTTATAAAAATAAAATAAAATTTAAGAAAGATAAATAATCAAAATAGTAAGAATAATGTGAACAAAGCAAAAAATAGATCTCGCCCCAATCCCCCAAGTTCCTTTGAGTTACACCCTAGTCAATTTCGCTGCTCTGAGGAAGGAGACGCAGCCAAAAACAACTGTAGTAGAAAGCAGAGACAGTAGAATAATCTTTGAGGCCAAGGGCAGGCAGGGAGATGTTGGCGAGGAGGTTGTTTTCTTTCTTCAAGAGCTCACCGTCTTCACAGCTCTCCAGGTGCACTTCTTCCCTTCTTGGAAGATTCAAGTTGCAATTTTTCTTTTTGATTTTTGAGATAAAACTAACCTCTGATATTGACTGCCCATCATTCTCCATCATGATTTCCATTTGAGGTTAGACCTTTGAGGTGAATATTGTGTATCCAGAAGAGGAAAATTGAAGCAAATTTTATATCTTTCTTTGCGTTTTGTTTGTGAATTGAAATGGGCATTTAGGTTATTGTCTTGGGTCGTTTGATTTCCAAATAAACAAGATCAAATGTTTCACTTTTGAAATGGGGCCTCTCAGTATGCTGGAAATTGTGGGTTTTAGCTCTCTGCTTTTGTTATATCAGATGGGTTCTTTGTCTGTTAAGCATGAATTTATAGGTTAAATTTTTGTATGCAGTATATGGGGTAATTAATTCCACAAGAAAATTAAGGTTGGCCTTCTTGATTGATTTGACTGTCTTATGCTGCAGCACAACTTCTGTGAATGATGAAAAGAGCAAAGCTTTTGGTCGTAAAGCTGTGTCTTTCATCTTGATTACTGTTACTGGTGGTGTTGCTCTGAGTGCTCTTGATGACCTTGCTATCTATCATAGCTGTAGCAGGTATGTGGCATTGCTATTGAGTCTATGTAGTATATTTTTGTGTATTGTGAGAATGGGTTTGGAGTGTTGCATTTACTCAAAGAAGGTTTCCCATATGTTGTTCTCCTTGGCATGGTTCTTATCTTGTTTGTGATGGCTTTTGCTAGAGCCCTGTGAAGGCTTGTGTCAAAAGTGTTCTATTCTTTTCCTTGCATTTATTCTCCTTAATAATCTCTTAGTTTGAAGCTGCAAAGAAAATCTTGAGATTGCATATCATGGTTTATGCTGACAATAATTTAGCAAGGTTTGTGTAGTGGCCACCTTGTCCACAGGGTTGGTTACCAATAAACTGGTACCATGTGCTTGTCCTTCAAATATGTTTAGATTCAGTTTAAAATTGTCCAAAAATTTAAGACGGCATGTATAAGGTATTAGCTGTCTTAGGTATTTCTAAATAAATCCTCTGTATTAACTCTTGTTGCAAGTTCTTATTACTTTTTGGGCCATGACTTGGACTTAAGTCTTTTCACCAAAGTGGTGATTCACAGTTTAGAGTTTTTAGGTTACCACTCTCTTAAGTCTCATATGTGGTAGAAAATGATATGAGTTACAATATCAACAATTACAAGGGCGTATATTAGGCTTTCTTTTTATGATCTTCATTTAAATGACATGTTCTGAACATACCGAGTCCTGCCCTGTGAGCCATCCCAGTCAACTATATGGATCATTCATTTTGTTCATATCAAGCTTTTCCCCATGACTGATGATAGGGATCATATCATTGTAGGAACTCTCAGTGGATAGATTTGCTTCTATGTAGACACAGCATTTTAGGCACTACTAACCATTCTTTGCTTTAACAATTCAGTTATCTAACTAATATATTTAAACTTCTCTGAGATAATAATCACAGAATATCTTTTAACTACCAATTCTTATGAAATGGTATGAGAAATGACTAGAGTGATGGGAAGTCTGCCAGAAAATCATATTTAGTCAATGCTTATTTGGATTTGAGTTAAGCTTCTTGGAGTTTGTTGTTTTTGAAAATTTATTTTATTAGTCTGTGCTGTTTTCATGTATCTAAACTAGTTGAAAAGAGTGAAAGCCTATGCTTGGTTTACTATTTGGTTCAAATTGTGGTTGCAAAAATAGACAAAAGATAACAAACAAGAATGAGAACATTTTCTCTGAAACTAAGAACTTGATACTGATAGTTAAGATAAGTGATTTTTGTAGTTAAATCCACTCAAGAATGATTTATTTAAATATTACGACAACAATTACTATAACAAATTTTCTCCCATGTATTTGTCCCTTTTTGTTTTCTGAGATTTGGTTCATCATGACACGTATGAAGTGACTAAAGAGGTGTGTGGAACAGTAGTCATCATGTTTACATGTATGTTATCTCTGATTTGGTCAAGCAAAGCTGTTTTGGTCTTTTCCTTCTCTTTGGTAATAAAGCTGTAAGGGCAATGGAACTGTGCAAGGGAACAGTTTGTTGAGGCCTTGACCTTTCAAAACCTGTTAAAAAAATTGATGTCTTAAATTGCATTTTTTTTTTCCTTGCCCATTTTCTATTTGCAAGCCATTTGAATTAAAGCCTAATTGTCCTCATAATTTTTCAGCAAGGCAATGGAGAAAGCCGGTAAGAATCAGGCAATTATAGATGCATTAGGGGAACCAATCAAGAAGGGACCGTGGTACAATGCATCTCTAGCAGTGGCTCACAAAAGGCATTCTGTATCTTGCACATTCCCTTTGTCTGGACCCCAAGGCAGTGGAGTCTTACAATTAAAGGCAGTAAGAAATGCAGGTTTGTATTCTCTGCTTCAGACCATTGGACACATCTTTTATCTTATTTATTCTTCAATCATACTATACCCACCACACAACTCATTACATGCCTAAAAGCATAATCTTCAGAAGCATTCACCTCAAAAGTAAATCATTTTAGCCTATGAGAATCTAAGCCAATATCCAGAGTTGGCTCTTCGAAGAACCCTTTTATCTTTTGAGTTCCTTTTATAAATTATTCCTTTGTTGCATTTTTTACTATTTCAATTAGGGAAAAAATGGAAATCCACCCTGAATTTGTTAGGCAGTTTGAAGTATGCCCCTAAACCAAAAAGGCACATACAAAATCCAGGTTTAAACACAAGGCATGTACAAATCCACTCCTCAACTTCACAACTTGCAGAAATCAGCCCTTGGTTGACATGTGATATCATCTTTCTGTTTGCTGACATCAGTGCCAACATGTCAAATAATTGCCATGTCAGCCAAGTCAAGCTGGAACAGTGATGTCAGCAAACGTAAAGGTGATGTATATGGGCTGATCTGCACCAGTAATGAAGTTGAGTGGATTGGGGCATACTTTTTTCTTTTTCAGGGTGGATTTCAAACTATCCGACAAGTTTCAGCGTGTATTTTTGGCTTTTTTTTCCTTTTAGTTACTGTTCTGTTTTAGTCATAGTGACATAATTCCCTCATTATCTTGTTGCAATTTAAGAAAACACATCAACTTCATCTACATGCCAATTCTGAAATGGGATTCCTCATGCAGATGATAGCTGGTATTCCTTTCTCCGACCTCGAGACTGGGAAATCCTAATCATGGATGCTCTCCTCCATTTACCCGGAAATGAAGAAAAGCAGCAAACACTACGTATTAACATCTCCGACAGCTCCCCTGCCTCAGCTTGTGTAGCATGCACTGCTACAGCTTGCAGGCCCCAGGTATCTGAGGACCCTGAGAAGAAATCAGAGGCCAAATCATAGAAAAAGAATAAAATATGAGACACATCTTGTTTTATGGGATTTCTTTATTTGTTGTCAAAATCAAACCTCCAGTCTTCTTGGAGTTGAAATTCTTTGGAACTTAAGATTTTTCTCAATAAAAATTCAAAACAACAATGTGTTTTGCAGTATGACGGAATCATACTCTTTTAAGTACTAACCATTATATGATGGGAGCCGGGCTTTTTCACTGGTGTTTTCTCCTTTTATATGGTTTGAATTGCAAAATTTCTTTATGCAAATTATGATATCAAATCACTTTAGTGGTTCAGTGATAATCTACTTTTGCTGGAAGTAATAGGTTCGTATAATATGTAGGTGGTGTGGGATAAGAGATGAGAGAGGGTTGTCTCTTGATGTGTAGCCTAACATCGAAAAAAAAATTATGATATCAAACCTCAATTACTTTATATATAAAATTTTTAGAGTTCCCTCAGGACTAGCCAAATAAAGTAAAATTAGGCCCTAAAAATGTGTAAAATGCCTATAATGAATTAGTTTAAGGTTGGATACTTAGATTTCACTGAGAACAACATTTCACGTTAAACGGGCATTTTATTTTGTCAATCAAGGACATGAAATGTTAACATTTCTGAATTTTTATGTTATTAATAAATTAATATGCTCTTTTTTGTTTTTTTAGTTATACTAATGTGATCATGCATGCATTTTTTAAGTATTATTTTTCTGTAGTATAATTTTTTTTATAAATAAAACTACTTAATAAAATTTACGTATTAGAAAAAAATTAAATTATTACCCATATATTACAAAAAAACTATTCCTAATTATATGTCTATGGTCAAAATAAACTAATTAAAAATTCAAGGAAAATATTAAACTAATATATTCATATTTTTTATGTTAAACTACAAGTTTGAATATTAAAATTATTAAAATATTATTAATAAAATAATATAAAAAGTAACACATGATCTTTCAAACCAATTACATTAGTCACATAAAAGAAAAAAGTGCATTATCCCCTCTCTTTAAAACTGGATTCAAATACATCCCTTATAAACATATTCAAAATATATATATAAAATAATTTTAGGTAAAATATTTTAATAAATATATTGATCAAATTATATTTTTATTATGCAATTTGATCTAAAAAAATATTTTTTATTAAATTAATACTCTAATATTTGGCAAAAAAAATTTATATAAAAAAAATGCAAAATACTTGAAGGGGACCAAGGGCAACCATTAAAATTGATATTAATTTGATGCAGACTAATACCAACCAACCGACCAAGCCTTTAAAAATCCTACGTGTCGACATCAAAAGTCAAGTTTGTCACGTGTCAGCGAAAGAGCCAAAGAGGCGTGGAAATACACAATGATTATGCTGTACCGAATCATTACTCCCTCCTACTACCGTTTGTTTGTTTTTTTGTCATTACGTGGGCCTTTTTCTTTGTGGGTCCCGCCACTTCCCCCCATCCCGTCCGTCAACGGCTCCACCGTTGATTCACACCGGAGGCAGGCGACAGGCGTGGGCACTGTCCCCTCCACACTCGACATCGCCGTACGTCGTCCACGTCACCGGTTTTCGGACCTCAAAACATTCTATTAATTCTCCCGAAATTCAAAAAACACCAACGGACTTGTTCACCCGTCGACGCCGCCGGCGTGTGGTTATTATTCCACTGTTGATATTGTTAAAAAA